CTTTGTCGTCTGGTGCGATGACCAGATTTCCTAGCATGTCCTGCAGAGGCCCCACGTTACCCGGTACCTTCTTTTTGCCCCCTATGTATTTAAAAAAGGACTTCTTGTAGATCCAACAAGGCATCTCCCCTGGTGGGGCTGTGCACCACCTGGGTTAGATGGAGGTTCTGTAACATGGCTAGGAACTTATGTGAGCGGTCAGACCCGGCTGACTGCTCTTCCCAGCAGATGTCCGGAAAGTTCAGGTCACCCATGATGACCACGTCCCTTGACCTAACTACCTTTGTGAGCTAACTTAAGAATTCCCAGTCTAGCTCTTCCCCTTGGTTGGGTGGTCTGTAATAGACCCCCACCGTTAAGTCCCTTTCCCCTTGACTTCCTTGTATTCTAACCCAGAGCACTTCAGTGTGCCCCTCCTCTGACCTCATGGTACTCGTTGAGGATGTGTATTTCTCCTTGACCTAGAGCGCCACACCTCCACCTTTCCTCCCTGTCTTATCCCTCCTGTACAGCCTATAGCCATTGATATTCACTGCCCAGTCGTGTGAAGTGTACTCTGTCCAAGTTTGCAGATGATACTAAATTGTGGGGCGAAGTGCACACTCTGGAGGGTAGGGAACAACTGCAGGCAGACCTGGACAGGTTAGAAAAGTGGACAGTACACAATAGGATGCAGTTCAACAAGGACAAGTTCAGTGCTGCACCTAGGACGCAGAAATATCCAGCACATCTACTGGCTGGGAAGTGACCCTGTCAGCAGCACAGAAGCAAAAACAGATCTCAGAGTCATAGTGGACTCCAAGATGAACATGAGTCATCAGTGTAACAAAATCATCAGCAAAGCTCACAGCACTTTATCATGCTTCAGCAGATGCATGACAAATAGATCCAAGGAGGTGATACTTCCCCTCTATGCAGCACTGGTCAGACCACAGGTGGAGTACTGCATCCAGTTTTGGGCACTGTACTTCAAGGATGATGTTGATAGACTCGAGAGGGTCCAGAGAAGGACCACTTGTATAGTTTGGGGATTACTGGGCAAGCCCTATGAGGAGAGACTGAGGGACCTGGACCTCTTCAGCCTCTGCAAGAGAAGGCTGAGAGGTGATCTTGTGGCCGCCTACAAATTTATTAGAGGGACACAGCAAGGGATTGGAGATGCTCTGTTCACCAAGACGCCTCTTGGGGTAACAAGGAACAATGGTTACAAACTGACAGAGAGCAGATTTAGGCTAGATATCAGGAAAAAAATTTTCATGGTAACGGTGGCCAAAATTTGGAATGGGCTTCCAAGGGAGGTGGTGCTCTCCCCTACCCTGGGGGGTCCTTAAGATAAGGCTGGATAGGTATCTGGCTGGGGTCATCTGACCCTAGCGCTCTTTCCTGCCTAGGCAGGGGGTCAGACTCAATGATCTGTTGAGACCCCTGCCAACCCTATTATCTATGAATCTGTTGTGTTACAGAACTGAAGCAGTTTCTGATCACTTAAACCAGTTTCTGTGTAATTTCTGTCCCTAGCCTGTGTGTTCTACATAGCATTTCCAATCTCTGCAAACTTAGGAGTGGGAAGAGATGTAGATGGTGGTTGCTGCTAAGTGAAGACATTCAAAAAAAGCCCAAACCTGAATTGATTCAATCTTTGCAGGTGAGTCTACCCTGCATAGACTGAACTGATCTGCAAGTGAATAAATTTTTGATTCTGTAAATGCAGCCACATGCCTGCAGTGGCTCAGGACAGAACACGGGGGGGGGGGGGC